AAACCCTATTGAATTAAACCAAACCTAATGATGATTTTGATTTTAATTCTGATTTTGATTTTAACTATGATTTTGAAACCCAATTGAATGAGCGAAATTCAATTAAAATTTTCATTCTAAATCTGATTTTGATTTTGAAACCCAATTGTTCGAACCAAATTCAATGATGATTTTGATTTTAATGCTGATTCAGATTTTTGTACTGATAGCAAATTGTACGAACCAAATCCAATGGTAATTTTAATTCTAATTCTGATTTTGATTCTGATAAAAAAAATTGTACGAATCACATATCGAACGATTCTAATTTTGATTTTAATTCTGATTTTGATACCCAATTGAATGATAGAAATATACAATTATAATTTGTGATTCTAAATCCAATTTTGATTTTGAAACCCAATTTAATGAACCAAATCCAATCATAATTTTGATTCTAATTCTGATTTTGAAACAAAATTTTATACAAACCAAATCGAATGTTAATTTTGATTCTAATCTGATTTTAATTCTGATACCTAATTGAACTAACTAAATCCAATGATAATTTTTATATTCTAAATCTGATTCTCATTCTGATTCTAAAACCCAATTTAATGAAACAAATTGGTATGGTAATTTTGATTTTAATTCTGATTCTGAAACCCAATTTAATGAACCAAATCCAATGACAATTTTGATTTTTATTCTGAAACTCAATTGCATGAACCAAATCCAATGATGATTGTGATTCTAATTCTGATTTTGATTTTTATTTTGATTCTGATTCTGATACCAAACTGTACTAACCAAATCCAATTATAGTTTTGATTCTAATTCTGAATTTGAAAACCCAATTGAATTATCAAAATACAATGATAATTTTGATTTTAAATCCGATTTTGATTCTGAAACCTAATTTAATAAAACAAATCCAAAGATAATTTTGATTTTAATTCTAATTTTGATTCTGATTTTAAAAACCCAATTTAATAATTCAAATCCAATGACAATTTTGATTCTGAAACCCAATTGCACAAACCAAATCCAATGATGATTTTAATTCTGATTTTAATTTTGATTATGATTCTGATACCAAATTGTACTAACCAAATCCAATAATAATTTTGATTTTAATTCTGATTTTGATTTTAATTCTAATTTTGAAATCCAGTTGAATGAGCGAAATTCAATTAAAATTTTCATTCTAAATCTGATTTTAATTTTGAAACCCAATTGTTCGAACCAAATTCAATGATGATTTTAATTTTAATGCTGATTCAGATTTTTGTACTGATAGCAAATTGTACGAACCAAATCCAATGGTAATTCTAATTCTGATTTTGATTTCGATTCTGATAAAAAAAATTATACGAATCACATATCGAACGATTCTAATTTTGATTTTAATTCTGATTTTGATACCCAATTGAATGATAGAAATATACAATTATAATTTGTGATTCTAAATCCAATTTTGATTCTGAAACCCAATTTAATAAACCAAATCCAATCATAATTTTGATTCTAATTCTGATTTTGAAACAAAATTTTATACAAACCAAATCGAATGTTAATTTTAATTCTAATCTGATTTTAATTCTGATACCTAATTGAACTAACTAAATCCAATGATAATTTTTATATTCTAAATCTGATTCTCATTCTGATTCTAAAATCCAATTTAATGAAACAAATTGAATGGTAATTTTGATTTTAATTCTGATTCTGAAACCCAATTTAATGAACCAAATCCAATGACAATTTTGATTTTGATTCTGAAACCCAATTGCATGAACCAAATCCAATGATGATTGTGATTCTAATTCTGATTCTGATACCAAACTGTACTAACCAAATCCAATTATAGTTTTGATTCTAATTCTGATTTTGAAACCCAATTGAATTATCGAAATATAATGATAATTTTGATTTTAAATCCGATTTTGATTCTGAAACGTAATTTAATAAAACAAATCCAAAGATAATTTTGATTTTAATTCTAATTTTGATTCTGATTTTAAAAACCCAATTTAATAATTCAAATCCAATGACAATTTTGATTCTGAAACCCAATTGCACAAACTAAATCCAATGATGATTTTGATTTTAATTCTGATTCTAATTTTGATTCTGATTCTGATACCAAATTGTACTAACCAAATCCAATAATAATTTTGATTCTAATTTTAATTTTGATTCTAATTCTGATTTTAAAACCTAATTGTTCTATCAAAATTCAATTATAATTTTGATTCTAAATCTGATTTTGATTCTAATTCTAATTGTGAAATCCAATTTAATAAAACAAAATCCAATGGTAATTTTGATTTTGATTCTGATACCCAATTGTAGAAACCAAATCCAAATAATAATTTTGTTTCTCATTTTTAAACCCAATTAAATGATGATTTTGATTCTGAATCCGAATTATTCTAGCATAATATAAATAGTGACAGCAGTAGAAGTAATTATAATCCTAAAATGGTCTTGATGTGTTTTTCTATTTTAAATTATTATCAACCTCAATTCAAAATTCATGACGCGATCTGCAAACTACTATATGTAATGGTGAAAGTGCGTATGAATTGTCCTTAAATGGTGCTATAACAGACGACAAGTATTCTTGTTTCTTCTCTTTTGCTCCTTTTCATCTCATATCTCTCTCTTTCTCCCATTGCCAGTGCATCACCAAATATGGATCGTTCACACAGGAATAATGTTTATAGTAAGAAAAAAATTTAGCTGCAAAAAAAGAATCGTTAGCACAATAATGGTAAAAACATCTAAGAGTAAAAAAAAAAACTTGCTTAGTATAGAAAATACTTCTAATGGAATAAATGAATTATTTCCATATTCGGAATTATGGAATAGAATCAAAACTATTATTGGATTTGGTTCGTACAATTTGGTATCAGAATCAAAATCAAAATCATCATTCCCGAATAAAAATTTAAGACGGCAGATGTAAATCTTACATCGCATCTGTATAGAATTTAAGACGGCCATCTACATAGGCCTTTTGATATACAGTCTAGGTAGGGAATATATAGGCCTTTCTATATAGGTCATTTGATTTCAAACCTATGTAGAATCTATGTAACCTTTTGATGTAGATTCTACATAGGCCTTTTGACATACATTCTACATAATAAATGCATAGGCCTTTCTACATAGGCCATTTGATATCAAAACTATGTAGAATTTATGTAGGCCTTTTGATGTAGATTCTACATAGGCCTTTTGACATACATTCTACATAATAAATGCATAGGCTTTTCTACATAGGCCATTTGATATCAAAACTATGTAGAATTTATGTAGGCCTTTTGATGTAGATTCTACATAGGCTTTTTGACATACATTCTAGATAATAAATGCATAGGCCTTTCTACATAGGCCATGTGATATCAAAACTATGTAGAAATTATGTAGGCCTTTTGATGTAGATTCTACATAGGCTTTCTAACATACATTCTAGGTTTGAAATGCATAGGCCTTTCTACGTAGGCCATTTGATATCAAAACTATGTAGAATTTATTTAGGCCTTTCGATGTAGGATCTGTATAGGCCTTTTAACATACATTCTATGTAGAAAAAATATCTGCATTTCTATATAGGCCTTAAAATGTAATAACTACATAGCATGTACGCAGGCTTGTTTATGTAGGATTTTTATAAGACACATGACATAGGATTGAGATTGTTTTCCTGCAGGTCATTCAATGTAGGTCGTAGGACATAACATATTTTATGTAGAATAGGTCTTTTTATATAGGTGCTTATATTAGAAATATTTTTGAGTCACTTATTTTAAAATTTCAAATTATATTAAAAATTATTTATTAAATTTATTATTTATTTATTAAATTATTAATTTATTATTATTATTTTATTATTATTATTAATTTATTAAATTTGGATTTATTAAAAATTACAAATTGATACTCTGCATGTTTGATATTATTGAACATTTAAGTCATTTTACGTTTTAATATTATTTAAAATAATAATTATACGTTAAAAACAAGATTTTTGTTTCATAATGACATTATATAATTGTCATAATTTTTAATGCATAATAATTATTTTATTTGTAAACAAATAATACTAATATAAAATTTTGTTATCCATTTTTAATATAAATCAATATTAATTCAATATAAAGTACTTGTGTACTTGCTGTATTTTATTGTGACTATATAGCGCTATACTTATAATAGTTCTACTGCGTTGCTTTGTAAGAGAACATCTACGCTACTCCACTTATTTCTTAACTTTGTACGGAACCTTCATAGCCTCCCTTGGTCGAGCGCGTTAAGGCGCCGCTCCCAATGGTTGTAGGCTCCCCTCCCCAGACCCAATTGCACACACAACACTATAGAGTAGAGGGCTCAAATCTCACCTACCATTGTATAGGAAAATCCCGCAAAAATATGAAAGGTACTTTTTTTTTATTGAATTTATATTGTTTAGATTATATTGAAATAAACTACTAATTTTCCTGATTTTTTAAATAATAATTTAATTATTAATTAATGAAAATATGCCTTTCAATGTAGGCTCTACGTATGTTAGCCTACGTAGATTGGATGTAGCCAAGCGTTACATTCTTGTGTAGATCCTACATCATCTGGCCTATATACAAGCTAGTATAAAAGTCCTACATAGGTCCTACATCTCGTGGCCTATGTACACCGTATGTAGCCAAGCGTTACATTTCTATGTAGACAGTATGTCAAAAAAAAGTCGCAGGCCTATGTCGCCAGGTAGGCCAACCGTCATAGGTCCTATATAATGGCGACTTTAATTTTTATTCGGGTTGGATTTGGTTTGTACTATTTGGTATCAGAATCAAAATCAGTTATCATAATTTTTTTAGCATTAATTTTACTTTTGCATTTATCAATTAAAACTTGAAAACGAATTTTAATTTTTTAAAATCTAATACCCCAAAATTATTCTTCTTCTATTATTCATTTTGAAAAATCACTAATTATTTTCTATTTTCTTTTTTCAGTACTGACAATAACATGCTATTGCGATGGCAATTGTCCAAATAATGTACAAAATGGTACTTGTACACTAAAACCAGGTGGACAATGTTTCAGTCAAGTTGAAGAATTTCTCGATCCCGAAAGTGAAGAATACATTACTGAAGAATCATTTGGTTGTTTAGCACCCGAGGAGAATAGCTTTATGCAATGTAAAGCAAATCTTGTACCACATTCACGTGGTAAAAGTATTTATTGTTGTAACGATACGGATTTTTGTAATGAAAAAAAAATTCCACAAATAATACCACGTTCAACAATTGCACCCGATCCAATTGCAATAGCATCAGGTGCACCATTAATTGTTCTTGCAGTGACACTATCAATATGTCTAATGATATTTATAATGGCAATGATTATTATCTATCAACGTTATCGTCGAAAAGAACAACGTGGCCCATGTCTTGTTTCAAATCAAGGTACACTTAAAGATCTCATTGAACAAACAAGTGGTTCAGGTTCGGGTTTACCTCTACTTGTACAAAGGACAATTGCAAAACAATTGGCATTATCGCAATGTGTTGGTAAGGGTCGTTATGGTGAGGTTTGGTTGGCAAGATGGCGTGGTGAAAAAGTTGCTGTTAAAGTATTTTTCACATTAGAAGAGGCATCATGGTTTAGAGAAACGGAAATTTATCAAACTGTATTAATGAGGCATGACAATATACTTGGTTTTATTGCCGCCGATATTAAGGGTACAGGTTCATGGACGCAAATGATGCTTATCACTGATTATCATGAACGTGGTTCGTTACATGATTATTTGCAGACAACTGTATTGGATCATACAACATTGTTGGCTATTTGTTTATCAATTGCATCGGGTATTGCACATTTACATACGGAAATATTTGGTACACGTGGTAAACCAGCAATTGCACATCGTGATATTAAAACACGTAATATACTTGTCAAAAGAAATGGCGAGTGTGTTATTGCTGATTTTGGACTCGCTGTACGATTTTTGAGGTGAGATTTTGCATTTTCTTTTGGTTATCAATTTTTTTTTTTTGAATCTAAAATTTAAAATCTAGGATCTAGAATCTAGAATCTAGAATCTAAAATCAAAAATCAAAAATCTAGAATCTAGAATCTAGAATCTAGAATCTAAAATCGAAATCAAAATCAAAATTGCTAGTATTTATGAACAACTATTGCTGCTATTTTCTGGGTTTATCAACAACTATTATTGATATTGTTCATATTTACAAACAACTATGGTTACTATTAACTCTAATTTTCAACATCAAAAAAAAAAAAATTTTCATACTATTTATCAACAACTAAAAACTATGATATACCTACTTTTCAACAAATACTAGCTAGTGCTATTGTCCCATTTATTAACTAGTAAAACTATTGTCCCTATTTATCAACGAAAACTACTATTTTCCTTATTTATCAACAACTATATAAGCTATTAACATATTTATTAACAAAATTTTCTGCTATTTATCAACAACTGATGATGATATTATTTCTATTTATTAACAAATATCACTACTATTGTCCCAATTTATCAAATTCTAGTAACACTATTGTCCCTATTCACCAACAACTATTTATAACTATTGTCCCTATCTACCAAAAACAATCATTGCTATTGTCCCTACTTACCAACTACTAATAACACTATTGTTCCTATTCCTAAACTAATATTACTATTATTATTGCTATTGTCCCTATTTACCAACTACTAGTAACACTATTGTTCCTATTCCTAAACTATTTTTACTATTGTCCCTATTTATCACATACTAGTAGCACTATTCTTCCTATTTATCAACAACAATTATTGCTATTGTCCCCATTTAGTCAACTTCTAGTAAAACTATTGTTGTTATTTATTACATGCAAGTAGCACTGCTGTCCCTATTTACAAACAGCAATTATTGCTATTTTTTAACAATAACAATTAACGCTATTGTCCTTATTCATCAACAACTATTTTTACTATTGTCCCTAGTTACTAATAAAAATTATTACTATTGTCCCTAATTATCAACAACTATGACTATTTTTGTCTCAATTTATCAATATCCGTTAAAACTATTGTACCTATTTACTAACAACTATTATTGCTATTGTCCCTAGTTATTAAAAAATATTACTATTGTCCCTAAATATCAACTACGGGCATACTATTGTCCCTAAATATCAACTACGGGCATACTATTGTCCCTAGTTATCAGCAACTTTGACTACTATTGACCTTATTTACAACAATTATTATTGCTATTGTCCCTAGACATCAATAACAATATTACTATTGTCCCAAAATATCAACTAGAGCACCACTAATGTCCCAATTTATTAATAAGTATTTAAAATTTTGTTCCTAGTTATAAAAAAATAACTACTACTTTTGTCCCTAGTTATAAAAATAACTACTACTATTGTACCTAGTTATGAAAAATAACTACTACTATTGTCCCTAGTTATGAAAAATAACTACTACTATTGTCCCTAGTTATGAAAAATAACTACTACTATTGTTGCTAGTTATAAAAAAATAACTACTACTATTGTCCTTAGTTATAAAAAAGTAACTACTACTATTGTCCCTAGTTATCGAAAAATAACTACTACTTTTGTCCCTAGTTATCAATAACTATAACTACTATGTCTCTAGTTATCAACAACTATAAGTATGCTTTTAAAATTTATAAATCTCTATTTACTGCTATTGCCTTCATTTATTAAAAACACTATTTCTGCTATTGTCCCTCTTTATCGACATTTATTACTACTATTATATCTATATTTGGCAAAAAAAAATCTTACTACTATTACCCTATTTATGAACAATTAAAACTACTATTGTCCCTATTTATCGACAACTGTAAATACAACGCTCCCTATTTTTGAATAACTATTACTACTATTTTAATAATATTTTTTTATTACTGCTATTGTTCCTATTTGTCTATAATTACTGCTATCAATAGTTATTTGTTACTATTGTCCCTATTTTATAATAAACATTACCGCTATTGTCCCTAATTAACAATAGTTAGCGCAACTATTGTCTATATATATTGTCGTATAGTTGTTAATAAATAGTATCAATAGTTGATGAAAAATAGGGGAATTTTTTTTTCTGATTAATATCTCAATAGCACAAATATTTGTTGATAATTAGGGACAATAGTAGTGGTTTTTGTTAAAAAATAGATGCAATAGTACTCATAATTGTTTGTAAATAGGGAGAATAGTAGTAATAGTGGTTTGGAAATAGGGACAATAGTAGTAACAATTGTCGATAAATAGAAATAGTTAAGGACAATAGTAGTAATAGTTGTTTGTAAAAAGGGACAATAGTAGTAATAGTTGTTTATAAATAGGGACAATAGTAGTAATAGTTGTTTGTAAATGGGGACAATAGCAGTAATAATTGTTGACAAATAAAAATGGTTAGGGACAATAGTAGTAATAGTTGTTTGTAAATAGGGACAATAGAAATAATAGTTGTTTGTAAATAGGGACAATAGTAGTAATAGTTATTGATAAATAGAAATAGTTAGGGACAATTGTAGTAATAGTAGTTAATAAATAGAAATAATTAGGGACAATAGTAGTAATAGTTGTTTGTAAATAGGGACAATAGAAATAATAGTTGTTTGTAAATGGGGACAATAAGAGTAATAGTTAGTTGTAAATTGGGACAATAGCAGTAATAATTGTTGACAAATAAAAAAATGGTTAGGGACAATAGTAGTAATAGTTGTTTGTAAAAAGGGACAATAGTAGTAATAGTTGTTTGTAAATTGGGACAATAGCAGTAATAATTGTTGACTAATAAAAAATGGTTAGGGACAATAGTAGTAATAGTTGTTTGTAAATGGGGACAATAGAAATAATAGTTGTTTGTAAATAGGGACAATAGAAGTAATAGTTGTTTGTGAATAGGGACAATAGTAGTAATAGTTGTTTGTAAATGGGGACAATAGTAGTAATAGTTGTTTGTAAATAGGGACAATAGTAGTAATAGTTGTTTGTAAATTGGGACAATAGCAGTAATAATTGTTGACAAATAAAAAATGGTTAGGGACAATAGTAGTAATAGTTGTTTGTAAATAGGGACAATAGAAATAATAGTTGTTTGTAAATGGGGACAATAGTAGTAATAGTTAGTTGTAAATTGGGACAATAGCAGTAATAATTGTTGACAAATAAAAAAATGGTTAGGGACAATAGTAGTAATAGTTGTTTGTAAAAAGGGACAATAGTAGTAATAGTTGTTTGTAAATTGGGACAATAGCAGTAATAATTGTTGACTAATAAAAAATGGTTAGGGACAATAGTAGTAATAGTTGTTTGTAAATGGGGACAATAGAAATAATAGTTGTTTGTAAATAGGGACAATAGAAGCAATAGTTGTTTGTGAATAGGGACAATAGTAGTAATAGTTGTTGATAAATAGCGAAAAAAATAGCAATATTAATTTTTTGTTGTTGTAATTTTTCATTTTTCTCATAAATTTTTTTTTTTGCAGCGAGAGTGGTGAGATTGATATTGCGCCAAATACACGTGTTGGCACACGACGTTACATGGCGCCGGAAGTATTGGACGAGTCATTGAATACATCGTCATTTGACGCATTTAAAATGGCTGATATGTATTCAGTGGGTCTTGTATTGTGGGAGGCATGCAGACGTTGTGCAACGGGTGGTAAAGTATCGACGGCAGAGCCATACGCACTACCTTATCATGATGTTGTGCCAAATGATCCCGATTTCGATGATATGAGACTTGCCGTTTGTGTTAAAAGGCTGCGGCCAATTATTCCAACGAAATGGGAAAATGATCCCGTAAGTAAATTAATTTAAAAATTTTATTTATTTATTTTTGATAAATATTATAATTTTGTAAATTACAATTTTATTATTATTATTATTTTGATAATTATAGTAAAATTATAATTTTAATTTTAAAAATTATAATTTTAATTTTAAAAATTATAATTTTATATTTATTTTAAAAATTATAATTTTAATTTTAAAAATTATAATTTTATATTTATTTTAAAAATTATAATTTTAATTTTAAAAATTATAATTTTATATTTATTTTAAAAATTATAATTTTAATTTTAAAAATTATAATTTTATATTTATTTTAAAAATTATAATTTTTATATTAATTTTGAAATTCCAAACAAAAAAAATTTTTAATTAAATTTAAAATTAAAAAATAAAATTACAAAATTATAATTTTATTATTTTTATGTTTAGAAAAAAATTTTTTTTTTAAATTTTAATTTAAAAGGAAAATTTATTTATTGAAAAAAAAAAAATTGTATAATGATAATAATTTGTTTTCTTTTTTTTCAGATTCTATTTGCCCTAGGCAAATTAATGGCCGAATGTTGGAATAAAAATCCACTTGTCCGATTAACTGCACTTCGAGTGAAGAAAACAATGTCTAAATTACACATCGATAATGCCATAAAAATTGTGTAGTGCGCTCATTAATGTAAATTTTTAATTTTTTCTTCTTTCCTCTCTCATTCTCTCTCATTTTTTTCCATTTTTTTCTTTCTTCTCTTTTTTTTTTATTTTCTCCTTTTTTTTTTTTTTTTTTCTTTTTCCCAATTATTTATAAAAGTTTGAGAGAAGTGAAAGAAAAAGAAAAAAAATTAAAAATCTTCTGTAAATAGTCTCATCCACCCCCCCCCCTCCCCGCCCCTTGCCCCCTTTTTCCCAACAAAGTGTAAATATTCTCGATAACAGACTGTTGCCTGAAGACTGAAAAAAAAGAAACTGAAATTTATAAATAGATTATAAATATATAAGGTGAGAGGCAATTTTTGTGTGAATGAAAAAAATTGCAAGCGCGATTTTTTTTTTTATTTTTATTTTTATTTTTTTTTCTATATATATATATATATATGAATGTTATTAATTTTTATTTTGCGAGACGAAAGTTTAGATTCTCTTTTTTTTTTGTACATATAGGAAAAATGAATTTTTTTTTTTCATTTCATTTAGAGGACTCAGTCAAAAACCAGCGTAATTAAATTTTTTTTTGTTTTTTTTTTTTAATAAATATAAATATAGATATATAAATATATTTTTTTTCGCGAATGACGAGCTGGGTTGACTTTGAAATACCTCAATGTAATTATTATTATTATTATTATTATTATTTTAATATAATAATAATTGTTATTAATTTGTTATAATAATTATTATAATATTGTAATTATAATATTACTGTAATTATTTTTTTGTAATTATTATATTATTTTAATTATTATATTATATAATTATTATAATATAATAATTATATATTTTTTTTTTGTAAATATTATATTAAATTAATTATAATTTTTGTAATTATTATATTAGAATAATTACAATTTTTGTAAATATTATATTAGAATAATTATAATTTTTATAATTATTATTTTATAATCGTTATTAATTTTTTTTTTGTAATTATTATACTATAATAATTATTAATTTTTTGGTAATTATTATACTATAATAATTATTAATTTTTTGGTAATTATTATACTATAATAATTATAAATTTTTGATAATTATTATTTTTTAATAATTATTAATTTTTTTTATTTTTTTTTTTTTTGCAAATAATTGTTATAACGACAGATTGTTAGATATTTTTTAATAAATAAACGAACAAATAAAAAAAGAAAAAAAAAAAAAAATTGTAGAAATCGAGTCGTGCAACATCGAATTTTTTTTTTTTTTTATTATTAATTTAATTTAATAAATTAAATATTGAAATTGTAAAATTTTTTCTTTTGCATTATTAAAAAGAAGATTTGTCCTTCTTTTGAAAATGAAAAAGAAAATTTTCTTTTTTCTTTGTAAATAATACAATTTTAGCTTTCTTTGTATGTAGTTTAAATAATAATTGTAAGAATGACAACAACAACAACAAAAATGTTATATATTATATATATAAAAAAAATAGTGATATCTTGTTAAATATTATTTTTTAGCTCATTTAGAAATCATTTTTTTTTTTAATTGTTATCACACAACGAATTTACATACAATTGGAAATAATATGATGAAATTTATATTTTTAAAAACCAATTATCATTATTATTATTATTATTATTATTATTATTATTATTAAATGAAATAATATCAATTTCCCCAATTTTTTTCATTTTTCACCTTTTGTGGATTTTTTTTTTGGTATAATTTATAATTTTTTTTTGAAATAATTTTTATTTATTGTTATTATTATTATTATTATTATTATTATTATTATTATTTATATTATTATTAGTTAAAATAATTTATTTCGAAAGAAAATTATATGAAAAAATAGAAAATAGAAAATAGAAATAAAAATAGAATTAAAAAAAAAATATTATTAATAAAAAAAAAATTTTTTTTTCAAAATTTTTTTTGAAAAAAAGAAGGTTTCCTCGGTGTGGGCCCTGTTAAGTTAATTGTCCGATAAAATCCTGTGAAGGATATTTTATCATTCAATTGTCACACATGACTTTGCTCTGACCAACACTCTCACACCCATGTTCAAGGTCGGCCACAATGGCTTCCATCCCAAATTTTTGTGAACATGACGGTGGAGGCTGGTGACAAATTATGTCACGACACTTTCTGCCAACGTGTCCAGGGACCTTCCTCAGAGCAGTTGATAGTCACTATTGGACTCCGCAACACTAGCTCCGTAGGTGTGCCACGAGGGAACCTCTTGAGAAACTCATTATTCTTCTTGTTCTTATATACTAATCATGACAAATATTCACCACTTGTGAGAAAGATTAAATTTTCAAAAATTTCTTAATTTCTCAATGAAAATTGATTTTTTTCGATTTTTTGTGATATTTCTTTTCTTAACAGGTCCATTTTTTTTAAAATAAAAATTAAAAAACAAAAAAATTAAATAAAAAATTAAAAATTTAATTTTTTAACAAAAAAAAAAAAATTGAAAATTTAAATTATAATTATTAGACAAAAAATTAATTGGAATTAGCTTTTGGAATATTTAAATTTGTATTTAATTAAAAATAAAACAAACAAAAAAATTTTTTTTTTTCTACTTTATCCTGTGTCAATAAGACTTTCTATCTTACCATGTGCGGATAAATAATAATTTCTCCGCAAGATGTCGTTCTTTTCAAAATTTTTAATATTACCAAATTTAGAGGAGGTAAAAAATTAATTTTTAAACAAAAACTTTTTTTTTTATTACACAAAATATACATATTTTTTTTAAAACAGTGTTTTGTTTTTGTTTTGTTTTGTTTTTTTTTTGACAAAAATCTACATTTTTTGCGATGAAAAATTGTACATAAGTCCCTGAATAAAATTTATTCAGTTTTTTTTTTATTTTTAACACTTGTCAATTCCAGTTTAAAATATTTTTTTCGTTCATTATTAAAAAATCATTCATTTTTTTTTGTGGATTAAAATATTTTTTGATTCTTTTTTCTTTATTACAAAAACAAAAATCAAAATTTTTATTAAATTAAATAAATAGCGGTTATTATAAAAAAAATTTTAATTTTCCTCTTATTTTTTGTAAAAATCAATATAATAATCGTTATTTAGAAATAATTTAAATTGTGTATGTGTGCATTGAGTTTTTATTTGTCCAATAGAAATTCAACTGCAAAGCGCGCGAAAATTTAAATTCGTATTTTTCAATAAATCAAAATAATTTAAAAATGGAATAACGAATTTTTTTAAAAATATAAATACTTATTTAAAAATATTTATTTTAAAAATAGCGTTTATCATATATTGTAAATTTAAATAATTTAAAAAATTTTCTTATATTTATTAAAATAAAAAAAAAATTTGTTTCAATAATCACGAATAGAAACCGCATAATATTTATAAATTAATTATTTAATAAAAAAAAAATTATAAATTTAAAATTTTTTAAAAAAATTAATCGAACAATAGTTACGAATTTGTAAATTATTATTATTATTCGATGTCATTGATGCGCAGTCTTGATTTTTTTTTTTATCAAACAACAATAACATTTAAGAATGTGAATTTTCTTTATACCAGAATCAACATTTTTTTTGTATACTAAAAAAAATTTTCCGTGTCATTATAAGTACTTTTAAATAAATGCTACAGAGTGTAAAAAAATTATTTTTTTTTGCATTTTTAACAAATATTTAAAATTTATATCTGTATATAAATTTTTTTTTTTGATTTGTAAAAACTCTGTTCACTTATCAAGTTTAATGACAAAAGCTTCACCGGGTGGTATGTTGAGCTGTTTGAAATAGACATTTTTACCAAATTTGTGCTTTGGACCAATAACCATATGACCTCCATAATAAAGATTCGATAAATCTTTGTTTTGTGTTGTTTTACCCAAATTTGCAACAAAAACATATGAATTTCGACGTCGATATCTTCTTTCAATCACAATTAATTCGTCTCTTGTGTATCTAAACAAGTTTATTGAAAAGGAAATTATTTAAAAATAACATTTTTTGGAATTTTTAAAATACTGCGCAGGTCTAGAGTCCACTGGAAACTACTGCGCAGGTCTAGAGTCCTATAGGATCTACTGCGCAGGTCTAGAGTCCAGTAGAATCTACTGCGCAGGTCTAGAGTCCAGTAGAATCTACTGCGCAGGTCTAGAGTCCAGTAGAAACTACTGCGCAGGTCTAGAGTCTAATAGGATCTACTGCGCAGGTCTAGAGTTCACTAGAAGCTACTGCGTAAATTTCGTAAATAATCAAAACAATAAATTTACAATAACAACAAATTCTTACCGAACATCACAATTTGCCTTTGGTTTATCATTTGTAATCAAAGCCTTAACATAAATAGTGGGTGTTTCTCTTCGTATACTCGTCATATTCGAAATAGCGTCATCAAGATTCGTCTCAATTGGATCATTACTTTTTGACAGCCATGGAAATTGAAAAGACGAGAAATTCTCACTAGCACCATCGTCATTAATAACATCATTTTTATCCCAACGCATTGGCATTAAATTATGAACATGTTCCAAATCCGCATGATCAGGACAATCACATTCAAGTAATCCTTTCTGTCAACATAGAACAATATTTATTACCCAAAAAACACTTGTGCGCAGCATTATTTCCAAATCCCAGCTTCTGCGCATCGAATGCGCAATAGATCCCTTTTTTTGATCATCTATTGCGAATCCAATGCGCAGTAGCCTCAGAGGAATTTAATTCTTGCGCAATAAATACCTCGTCGTCGTAGAAGTTTCTGCGCATCGCCTGCGCAATAGATCGCTTTTTTGATGATCTATTGCGCATCCAATGCGCAGTAGCCACAGAGGAACTTAATTACTGCGCAGTGAATACCTCGTCGTCGTAGAAGCTTTTGCGCATCAAATGCGCAATAGATAATCAAAAAAGGGATCTATTGCGCATCCTATGCGCAGTAGATTCAGTCAAACTAAATTTCTGCGCAGTTAAAACTTCTGTGCATCGAATGCGCAATAGATCCGCTTTTTTTTTGATGATCTATTGCGCATCTTATGCGCAGTAGTTTCAGACGAATTAAATTTCTGCGCACTCATTACCTCGTCACCGTAAAAGATACTTGGAGTGCCTGGTAACATCATTGTCATAAGAGCAACAGCAATACTCGCATTATTAACACTCAATGTTGATGACACACGTTTTGTATCGATATTTCCAATACTCCAATGTACCCAAGGATAGCCGGCTTTTTCAAAGAGAATGCCATTTAAAATATTATCAATTTCCTCACGTATAACATTTGTTCCATTTGCAACGCCAATATGAACATCAATCAAATCAATTCTATTGAGAATTGCATTTTTTGCCCCACTATTTTTAGCTTCATTTAATGTTTTAATATTACAAATTAAAATTCTCCTCGTACCAATAATTGATTTCCATAAACGTAATTTATTAGGAAAATTTTTTTCATTTACATAATTCTCAAGACCTTTTAAATAAAAACCATCGACACCTTTCTCTGTCCAAAATTTAATTGCCAATGTAATTTCATCATTTTCTTCGGCTACTGTTTCTAAAATTGACGTTCTTGTTGTCAATATATCTCCCATTATCTGAAAATAATAAAAATTTTAATTTTAATTGTTAATTAATTATAATATTAAAAAATAAGAAGTGACATAACCTCAAATGATGCAACAGTTGGAAGAAGTTGAGGTGAAATGTCTCTTCGTTGTTTGAGAATTTTTTTAGTTTCGTTAACATCGGCAACATCAAAATCCTTAATAAAAGGATATAAAGGAATATCAAGAATTAGTGTCATATTTCGTTTATGAATTTCCAATAGAAGTTGATCAAAATCTTTCATTTCACCAAGTATTGGATTTACATCCATTAAACTGGTGATATTTGAATAATATTCTGGATAATGATCAGCTGGAAATATGGAATTTAATCTCACTCCTTTAACACCGAGTTTTTGTAGATAACCAAGACGTTTATTGATACCCGGTAGATCACCAACACCATCGTTAATTGTCATACCATCCTGATAAGAACCAGGAAATATTTCATAAAATAAACTTCCTTGCCACCATTCAACTTGTGGATCGCATCTAAAAAAAATTGTGAATTTTGATTAATTGTTGACAAATTAGATGGAAAATTGTATTTACGAATGTTTTGAGGAGTTTGGAAACTTGTGCGCAGGTTTTGGAGTCGAATACAAGTTGGTGCGCAGGTTAAAAGTTCACTGGGATCTACTGCGCAGCTTTTGAGTTCGTTAAGATCGATTGCGCAGCTTTAGAGTTTGCTTTGGACTTTACTGCGCAGGTTTAAAATACGATATAAGCTTCTGCGCAGCCTAAAAGTTCACTAGGATCTACTGCATAGCTGTTGAGTTAGATATGATATACTGCGCATCTACAGAATTCGCTTCAACCTTTACTGCGCAGCTTAAAAATACAATATAAGCTTTTGCGCTGCCTAAAAGTGTACTAGGATCTACTGCGCAGCTTATGAATTTGATAAGATCTATTGCGCAAGTTCAGAGTTTGCTTCAAACTTTACTGCGCAGCTTAAAAATACAATATAAGCAACTGCGCAGCCTAAAAGTTCATTAAGATCTACTGCGCAACTTATGAGTTTGATAGGATCTATTGCGCAACTTTAGAGTTTATTTCAGACCTTACTACGCAGCTTAAAAATACAATAAAAGCTTTTGCGCAGCCTAAAAGTTTACTAGGATCTACTGCGCAGCTTTTGAGTTAGATAGGATCTACTGCGCAGCTTATGAATTTGATAGGATCAATTGCGCAACTACAGAGTTTGCTTCAAACTTTACTGCGCAGCTTAAAAATACAATATAAGCTTTTGCGAAGTCTAAAATTTACTAGGATCTACTGCGCAGCTTTTCAGTTAGATGCGATCTACTGCGCAGCTTATGAATCAATTTCTGCGCAGTAAATTCCAAATTATTCTACATATGTTCCCTCATATTTGTACTACTCTACAAATGTTTTCAAAAATAATTATTAAGTAGGAAAAAAATTTTTTTTTTATTCTAAAAATTACCTTTTTGGCATTGTTATGATGACACCAATGACTAGTGCTGCACAACCGGCAAGTATTGACATTAATGACCAGAAACATGTTTTTCTTATTAAGGGCCAATTCCATTTGGTGAAAATATAATTTTTTGGTGGTTTTGGTACAACCAATTGTATTCCAACTAATGGCGGTTTTCCTCCATTCTCCTGATTGTAAAACTAAAGAGTTATAGTGTGAGTCGACAAGATTGTTAGAAAGCAACATGGTAGTAGTAGTAGTAGTAGTAGTAGTAGTAGTAGTAGACGATTAGTGTTTATTAATCACAGCATCCAAAAAAGAAAAAATTTTTCATTTAGTAAATTATGAAAAAAAAAAAATTTTTGTAAAATTTTGATACAAAAAAATTATAACAAGATTGTAATATTTTTGGTAACAATCTTGTAACTTGGAACAAATATGTTACATTTTTGTAACAATTTTGTAACACGTTTATAACAAATTTGTAACATTTTGGTAACATATTTGTTACAATATTGTAACATTTTGGTAACATACTTGTTATAATATAGTAACATTTTGGTAACATACTTGTTACAATATTGTAACATTTTGGTAACATACTTGTTACAATATTGTAACATTTTGCAAACATATTTGTTACAATATTGTAATAAGTTTGTAACATAATGGTAACAATTTGTAACACATATATGTAAAATTTTTGTAAAACATTTGTAACATTTTGGTAACATATTTGTAACAATTTTGTAATAAAAATGTGTAACAAATATGTTACATTTTTGTAACATTTTTGTAACATTTTGGTAACATATATTTGTAACAATTTCGTAACTAAAATGTGTAACATTTTTATAACATTTTTGTAACATTTTTGTAACAAAAATGTGTAACGTTTTTGTAACATTCTTGTAAAATTTTTGTAACAAGCAAACAGTAAAATTATGTAACGATTAAAATGTGAGTAGTTTAGTAAAACTAAATTTTTTTTTATTATTGAAAAAAAAGAATTAACGCGCAAATTTATTAAAATCATTTAAGGCGTGATCAAAAGTTATAATTGTTAACGACTTTATTTTATTGTTGTCATTTTGCCACAAAATTTTCTCGCTCATGCCAAGTTACTATGCTCATTATACAATTCAATGACTTTTGACAAATTTATTTTCAAATTAATTGTTGCTTAAAAATTTTTTTTTCTATGATAAATATTAAATTTACTATTATTATTATTATTCTTATTGTTATTATTAATAATAATAATAATAATAATAATAATAATAATAATTTTTTATTAAAAATTTTTTTTTTTTAGCAATTTTTTATTATTTTCAATGATAATAGAAATAAAGTTGTCAATTTGTTATTTCAATAATTTAATGTAATGTTGATTTTTGCAATTAACACACATACTCGACTCACCAAGCTTTTTTTTTTTTTAAAACAAAAAGGGAAAACGAAATTATTTTATAAAACCAAAGAAAAAAAGAAATAAAATTTTTCTTTTAGAAATAAAAATTAAAAAAATATTTTTTTTTAATATAGAAATTTTTTTTTTTATTTTGTTTTAAAAATATTATAAAAAATAAAAATATATATATAAAAATATATAAAAAAAATAAAAAATAAAATATAAATAATAATAATAATAATATATAATAATATAAATAAAATATATAAAAAAAATTTAAAAAAAAATATTATATAAAAAAAAACTTACCAGTGCCTGGGCATCTGGTGCTAAATGTTGATAAGCTTCATTTAATTGTGTGAGCAATTGTGTACAAACTGGTTCATTTTTAATGCTGCTATTGCTACTACTACTCGTTGATTCCACCATAGGATCACGAGAACTCGGTTCTAAAAATAATATATTTACATATAAATTATTATTGTAGAACAATAAAATTACAAAATTAAAAAAAAAAAAAAAAAAAAAGTAAAAATTTATTTTTATCATTAAAATATTTTTTTTTATTGATTTTTTTGTTAGTTTTTATAAAAAAAATTAATATTTTCTTAATATTCGTTTTTTTAATAAGAATAGTAATAATAACAATAATAATAAGAAGAATAAAGTAATTATAAAGTGTATTTATGTGTATTAAAAAATTAGTCTAGTGGATAAGGTACTCGACTTGTAAACTAACGATTAGGGTTCGATTCCTGGTAGCGAAATTTTTAAAATTATTTTTAAAATATTAATAATCATAATATAATTAATAAAATTTATAACAAAAATAATATTTATATAATAATAATAATAATAATAATAAAAATAAAATATTAATTATAAAATAAAAGTAATTATTGATAAATCAAAATATATTTCAAAATAATTGAAGCGTTTTATATTTCTATAGCTATTAATATTTAAGTGGAGCTAAATTAAGTGACATTTGTTTAGAGAACTGTCGACAGATTTAAACTGAAAGAATTTCAATCACTGTCACCAAAAAAAATTTCTTTTTTTTTTTTTTACTAAGAAATTCATAATTTTTTTTTAAAATAAAAAAAAAAATTGAGAAAGTATTATGAAATTAAAAAGTAGTTTCTTTATTTTCTAGCTGTTTAAAAAATCAAAAAAAAATTTTTTTTTCCTATTTATTAATTTATATTTTCTTTTTTTATTATTTAAAAAAATTTTTTTATTAATTTTTTTTTTATTTTTTAATAATTTTGTTTAGTTATTTTCTATTAATTTTTTTATTTGTTTTTTTATATATTTTTTATTTATTTTATTAATTTTTTTTTAATTTAACACATTTTTTCATTTTTTTCCTTAACATTTATAAAATAGAGATTAATATTTTTGTTTTATTAAATAAATTGTTGAAAAGAGAATTTTTTTTCCATTTTTAAACTATAAAAAAAAAATTATTTATTTTTGAAAAAAGAAATTTTAAATAAATAATTTTTTTTAATTGAAAATAAAAATAACTTGTTAAATAAATAAAAACAAAAAAAAATTTTATCTTCTAATTTAGTGGAATATTTTATTTTTATAATTTCCGTTTTATGTTACAATCGATAATGAAATTTTTAAATGTTATCGCAAAACTCAATACCTTCTTCAACATTCTTCTTTGGATCCATTTGAAAATTTTTTTCTTCTTAATCGCACTGCGTTATAAAGTTATATTAAAAATGAAAAAAAAACTATTTTTTTTTACTTTAAATAATACATTTTTTTCACACTTTTTATTTATTTTTTTTTTATCTTCACATTTTAATATAGTTTATAAATTTTTTTTTTTGTTAAATTTTGATAAATAACAAAAAAAATTGTTTAAATTAAAAAAATTATTGAAATTTGCAATTAATTAAGTTTTTAATTTTGTGAAAATAAAAAAATTTATTTTATCTAATTAAAAAAAAATTTATTTAATTATTCACACTTTTTATTTTTTTTAATATATTTAAACAAAAATCGGTTAATTAATATTTTGTTTAAAATTTTTTTTTCAAATATTTATAATATTTAGATAACACAAAATACTATAAAAAAAATTTTTTTTTTTAAACTATTTTTACAATAATTTTTTTTTTTTTTTTTTGGTTTCTGTTTAAGCAATAATTGTTCCCCTGTAGGGGGAGGGGGAAATATATAAATTCTTTGTAGTCACTTAAAAATGTTAAATTTTTTTTTTCGAAAAAAATTCACTTAAAACTTATTATAAATATATATATAAAAAAAATAACACAACAGAAAAAAAAATTGAAATCACTTTGTCATAAATTTATTTCCTATTCTTTCGCGTGCACAAAATGAATTGTGATGGAATTGTTAAATGCGGGGAGCTCGTGCCTCGTAAAGTGATCACGTGACTCTGACGAAACACTTTTTAAGAGCAATAAAAGATGTGACCATGAAGAATACGGTCCAATTTCAATTTTTTTTTTACATGCAAAATTAATTTCCCCCTTAATGAAAAATATTAAATTATTTTTTTTTTATTTAAAGTCAATAATTATTATTTCTTTTGTTTTTTTGTTGCAAAATTATTTATTCTTGTTTATGGAGAATAATAAATAAATTTAATTGTAAAATACGTTAAAAATTTTATTTAAAAAAAATTTTTTATTTATAACAAATTTATTTATTATTTTGTAAAAAAATTTATTATTTAGTTTTTTTTATATTTTAAATAGGTAATGAGTGCGTAGAAATTTAGTTTGACTGAATCTACTGCGCATAGGATGCGCAATAGATCATCAAAAGAAGGGATCTATTGCGCATTCGATGCGCAGAAGCTTTGACAGTGACGAGGTAATGAGTGCGCAGAAATTTAGTTCTTATGAGACTACTGCGCATTAGATGCGCAATAGATCATCAAAAAAAAGATCTATTGCGCATTCGATGCGCAGAAGATGGGATTTGGAAATTATTATTATTATTATTATTATCATATAAATAAATTTTATGTTAAAAAATATTTGTTATTTAAAAATTAATTGTTATTAAAAAATTTTTTTTAGCAAACAATTTTTGTTTTTAAATTTAAAAATAAAATTTCGTATTTTTTTTTTTTTTTGCATAATACTCACCATCATGAAGTGGTTTACTCGAACTGTTAACAATATTCATAAAAACATTAAGTCCATCTTCTGAATTAATATTTTCAGATGTTGGTGATGCTGGAATTTCCAAAGGACTTTCGATATGTTTAAATACTGGAATCATTTCCGGTATTTTGCGTACCACACAAATTGGTGGACTTGGTGTCAATAAAGGGCAATCCGAAGTTTCTTCGTCCTTAAAAAAAATTTTTTTTTTTTTTTTATTTCCTTAATTAATTTTATTTAATTTTTATAAAAAATTAATTAATTTTTCAATTTTTTTTTTATTATTCAATTAATTAATTTTTATTTAATAATTACTGAGTTTTTTTGAAGAGAAGTTTTAATTTTTTTTTTTTTATTATTAATATTAAGATTTTTTATTATTAAAAATAGTTATTGGTTTTTTTTGAAAAATTATTTTGCAAAAAAAAAAAAAATACATACCTGTTGGTCTTGATTAATCATTAAATTTTGCGAGCATTGAGAATTTGAAAATTCCGATGGGAGAACAACCGATAAGAAGTTCTCATTTTTTTGTTTATTCATTTTTTTGAACTGTAAAGTTTTTTTGAAAAATTAAAAACAAAAAAGTTACAATAAAAGAAATTCAATAAAACTTTCTTTGGTACACAAAAAATAAAAAACTATTAATTATTATTATTTTTTAGTATATTTATTAATTTATTAAATTATTAAATTTTAATAATTATTTATTTTATTTATCGTTTAAATTATTGATTAATTAATGGCTTATTAAATAAATATTTCTTGTTTTTTTAAAAAAAAATTTTTTTTAATTTTTTAAATTAATTTTTTCCTTTCAGAATTTATTTATTATTTCTATAAATATTTATCTTTTTTTTTTTTTAATTTCAAATAAATATTATTTCTACTTACCAGATAATAATTAAATTATTTTTTAATTCCCTTTTGGTTATAATTAAGTTTCCATAATTTATTTCGTTTTTTTTTCTTTCTTTTTTTATTAATTAAAAAATCAATTTTTCGTTGAATTTGAATTCTTTTTCTATAGTAAAAATTTCCTCACACATTGACACATTTATTTATATATAAAAATAGAAATTTCTTTAATTTAAATAAAAATAGAAAAAAATTATTATTTTTTTTTTTTTATTGCAAAGTTATCGATTTTTTTTTCCACCACCACTACTGTTTTTTCGATGAAATTTCGTTAATGCGTAAAATTTTTTTTATATATATTAAATCACAGATTTTTTCCAGCGTAAAAAAAAAAATTTGCACTTAAAAAAAAATACCGGAGAAAATAGGAAATTTTATTATTGAAAAAAAAAAATTGAAAGCACAAAACTTGACGACGATGATGATATTTTAGAAAATTTTACTAGTGAAACAATATCATCGTGTCTCTCGGTATATATTTAGTAATACGTTTCGTGTGTGTGCTCGCAGCTGACGACGACGACGTTCCTTCTTTGCGTCGATTCTGCGCCCCAGAATTTTCACCCTTCGTCAGGGACGTCAATGTTAATGAAAATTAGAAAGAGAGAAAAATTTTTTTTTTTTATTTTTATAAAAAAAAATTATACATTTAAAAAAAAAAATAATTATTAATAATTATTGATAATAATAATAAAAATAATAATTAATAAAAATAATTATTATTATTAGTAATTATAATTATTAATTATTATTATATTAATTATTATTTATTTGTTTATTATTTATTAATTTATTATTATTATTATTATTTCTTTATTATTAATTAATTAATTTTTAATTTATTATTATTACATTTATTTATTGTTCTATTAAATAATTAATAATTTTTATTAATTTTTTATATTAATAATTTAAATATGATTTGAACTAGAATTTTTTGCCATTTCCGTAAGAACTTTAGCCATTTCTGGACCAGTTTGTTGAACCATTTCATAAAAGAGACCTTCTCCTCTTTCCAATAATTTATAAGGATGATCCATTGCCTAAAATTTCGAAGCAATTGTGGCATTAATTACTACCAAAATTAATAAAAAATTCAAAAAACAAAAGAAGAAAAAAAAAGGCAAAAGAAAAAGGAAACAGCATCAAAAAAAACAGTAGCAGCAGAAGAAGCAGAAAAATAATTTTTAGCAGAAGACAAAGAATTAGAAGCAGCAGAAGCAAAAGATTAAGAAGCAGAAAAATAATCTTTAGCAGAAGAAAAAGAAACAGCATAAGCAAAAGGTCTGAGAAGCGGAAAAATAATTTTTATCAGCAGATAAAGCAGCAGCAGCAGCAGCGGAAGCAAAAATTTAAGCAGAATAAATAGAAACAGAAGCAGCAGAAGCAAAAGATTAAGCAGCAGAAAAATAATTTTTAGCTGAAGGAAAAGAAACAGATTAAGCAGAAGAAGAAGCAAAATTAACAGAGGTCAAAAAAAGCAGCAGCAGATGCAACAGATTAAGCAGATGCAAAATTAACAGAGGCAAAAAAAGCAGCAGCAGATGCAACAGATTAAGCAGAAGCAAAATTAACAGAGGCAAAAAAAGCAGCAGCAGATGCAACAGATTAAGCAGATGCAAAATTAACAGAGGCAAAAAAAGCAGCAGCAACAGATTAAGCATCAGAATCACAAGGTTGAGCAGTAGAAAAATAATTTTTACCAGAAGGAAAAGAAACATCATCAAAAAAACAAATGCCTACCACAAGAAATCCAGAATCCATGACAATTATTTTATCCGAATCCATAACAGTATTCAATCGATGAGCAATAATAAGAACAGTACAATCCTTAAAACGTTTTCTAATTGTCCTTTGTATTAAATCATCAGTTTTTGGATCAACATTAGCCGTTGCCTCGTCTAATACCAAAATTCGACTATTTCTCACAATGGCCCTTGCCAAACAAAGTAATTGTCTTTGACCAACACTAAAATTAGAACCACCATCAGAAACACTTGCCTCCAAACCGGCTTCCATTTTAATAACCATATCCTTAAGTTCCACATCATTTAATGCACTCCAAAGATCTTCATCGGCAAATTCATCAAATGGATCTAAATTTATTCGTAGACTTCCAGCAAAAAGTAAAGGTTCCTGTGGTATAATACTGAGTTTCGATCGTAAATCATAGAGTGACATTTTACTTGTTGGTATCCCATCAATATAAATTTCACCCTCCAAGTGTGCCAATCGAAATAGTGACGTAATTAATGAAGTTTTTCCCGCACCGGTTCTACCAACAATTCCCACTTTTTCCCTTGGTTGAATTGTAAAATTTAAATTTTTCAACACCGCCTCCTTTATTGGATTGTAACGCAATGAAACATTTGAAAATTCAATACGACCCTCTTGTGGCCATTGTTCGGGTATTTTATTATCCGAATCACTTTCCAAATATTTCTCCTCCTCAACATTTGTATACTCCACTATACGTTCAACTGATGTCATTTGATTTTCCAAATTTGCCATTTCAATGATACCCCAATGCAACATATTTGACAGAAAAATACATTGTGAAATAACAAGACCAATACTTGCTGTTGTTTGTCCAAAATCAATGATAAGAAATGAAAAAACAACAATTGCAACATAAACAGCTGATAAAAATTCCAAATAATAGATAAAACAATAGCCACATGATAATAATAGATAGACTGCTGATGAATGAAGATCTTGATGATTGTCAAATTCTTTTGTAAGAATTATTTCAGCATTAAAGGTACGAATAATTGTGATTCCTTGAAGTGTTGCAATTAGATGATTGAAGACTGGTGATGATGCTGGAAAAAGTTAAAAATAATTATTTGGGTGTTGTTACGAATTTTTTTGAAAGTTAATAATTACTTATTCCTTCAAGACGTTTTAAATCACGTGTTGTTTTTAGATAATTTGTTTTTAGAATGTAAAATATCCAGCCAACTATTACAATTGGTAGCAATAGCCAGGGATTATTGATGATACAAATAATGATAACTGATGTTACCATTAGACAGACTTTTATTACTTCCATCAAACTGTTGGGGAGAAATCTGTCAACTGTGCCCATATCTTTGGAGAATCTGAAACGGAAATTTAATTATTAGTAGAAGGAAGAGGAACAGTGGGAGAAGAAAAATTACCAGAGGCAAAAAAAGCAGCAGCAGAAGCAAAATTAACAGAGGCAAAAAAAGCAGCAACAGATGCAACAGATTAAGCATCCAAAAAAGCAGCAGCAAAATTACCAGAGGCAAAAAAAGCAGCAGCAGAAGCAAAATCAGCACCATCACCAAAAGAAATAAGCACAAAATTTTGCAGCAGCTGAACTAAACTGAAAAATTAGATTCAGAATCGTTAGAAGCATTTTGTTCCACACAATTAATTTTAATTCCATTAAAATCATCAAAAAAACCAACTCACCTATTAATAATCCTTCCAGACGGATTATTATAAAAAAATGACATCGTTGCACGAATTATACTCGAGAACAAAAATCCATGAAGCCTCCTCGATGCTCTCATGCACATTTCATAAAATGTAAATACATCCACATAAATAATAACAACAGCCAATAGAGTTAATATTCCATAAATCTCAATATACCAATTTCTATTAAATCCACTCCTCGTCTCTTTCAAAATCACCGACTTATTTAAATTCCCCTCATTATTCACCCAATAGGCAACAAAATAATCGCCACCAGTTGCTATCAATTGATTTAAAATAGTAATGAGAAACATTATTGTCACAAAACTCCAACTACCAACGGATTTAAAATATTTAAAGTAAACCTTGCTGGAAATTCTACCAAAACTTCGATGCTCAGCTTCCTCTTCAGTTTCCTCATCTTTCATTTTATCTTCCGATGAATGTGTTGCCAATATATCATTGCTATCCATTTCATCAGATTTTGAATCATCTAGCTCGTGGATTGTTTTTATCATATCTAAATTGGAGGTTTGTAGCTCTTGGAATGTTCCACTAGTTTCAATGGATCCGTTATTGAGGACATAAATTTTAGCGACGTTCTTCAAATATTGAAAGTGATGGGTTACTAAAATTCTTGTTGTACCACGAAGATAATCGGTGATGCATTGTTGAAAAATCATTCTCCCAACTCGTGTGTCAACGGCTGATAGTGGATCATCAAGAAGGTAAATATCAGCTTCTGAATAGACAGCTCGAGCCAGACTGATTCTTGCTCGTTGTCCTCCGCTCAATGTTATTCCTGGAAAAAAAATTTAATTCTTAAAATATTCGAAGACTTTGTACTAAAATCCCAAGATTCGGAGACTTTGTACTAAATTTCCAACATTCGGAGACTTCGTACTAAGTCTTGGTACTACTTTAATAGCAATCCTCCGAATGTTGGGAATTTGTTACTTAAGAAAATTCCAAAATCTTTGGCAGAAAATTACCAGGTTTGTTAATTTTTTGCTTTTATTCCAACATTCGGAGACTTTGTACCAAATTCCCAACATTCGGAGGCTTGAAACTAAAATTCCAATATTCGGAGACTTGGTACTAAGTCCTGGTACCACTTTAATACCAAGTCTCCGAATGTTGGGATTTTAGAACCAAGTCTCCGAATCTTGGGAATTTAGTACCAAGTCTCCGAATGTTGGGATTTTAGTACCAAGCCTCCGAATGTTGGAAATTTGGTACTTAAGGAAATTCCAAAATCTTTGGCACCAAATTACCAGCTTTGTTAATTATTGGCTTTTATCCCAACATTCGGATACTTGGTACGAAAATCCCAACATTCGGAGACTTGAAACTAAAATTCCAACATTCGGAGACTTGGTACTAAGTCCTGGTACCACTTTAATACCAAGTCTCCGAATGTTGGGATTTTCGTACCAAGTCTCCAAATCTTGGGAATTTAGAACCAAGTCTCCGAATGTTGGGAATTCGATACTAAAACAAATTCCAAAATCTTTGGCACCAAATTACCAGCTTTGTTAATTATTGGCTTTTATCCCAACATTCGGAGACTTGGTACAAAAATCCCAACATTCGGAGACTTGAAACTAAAATTCCCACATTCGGAGACTTGGTACTAAGTTTTCGTACCACTTTAATACCAAGTCTCCGAATGTTGGGATTTTAGTACCAAGCCTCCGAATGTTGGAAATTTGGTACTTAAGGAAATTCCAAAATCTTTGGCACCAAATTACCAGCTTTGTTAATTATTTACTTTTATCCCAACATTCGGAGACTTGGTACGAAAATCCAACATTCGGAGACTTGAAACTAAAATTCTAACATTCGGAGACTTGGTACGAAAATTCCAACATTCGGAGACTTGGTACTAAGTCCTGGTACCACTTTAATACCAAGTCTCCGAATGTTGGGATTTTCGTACCAAGTCTCCGAATCTTGGGAATTTAGAACCAAGTCTCCGAATGTTGGGAATTCGATACTAAAACAAATTCCAAAATCTTTGGCAGCAAATTACCAGCTTTGTTAATTTTTGGCTTTTATCCCAACATTCGGAGACTTGGTACTAAATTCCCAATATTCGGAGACTTGGTACTAAAGCAATTCCAAAATCATTAGCCAGGAAAAGATTATCAGCTTTGTTAATTTGGTAAATTTTGGATAAAAAAAATAAAATCACCTTTTTCACCAATCAGCGTTTGATCCTTATCAGGAAACATTGCGAGATCATGATCCAATTGGCAAATATTAATGACAGTTTCGTAGCGTTTTTTTTCCATTGGACGACCAAAGAGAATATTTTGTCGAATGCTTGAGGCAAAAATCCATGCCTCCTGACTGACGTAGGCTATTTTTCCTGACACCCGTAAACTACCGGAAGTGAGTGGTAATTCACGTAGTATTGCATGAAAAAGTGTTGTTTTCCCTGAACCAACGGGTCCAATTATTGCCGTTATTGAATCATTGATAGCTTCAAAATTAATATTATTCAAAGTATTACATTTTGAATTTGAAGACCATTTTACTGATGCATTTTTTAATTCAATAAATTTTTCCGGTTTCACGATTTTAGAAATGCTATCATCAGTATTTAATGTAATCATCTTCATTTGTTGATTTTCCGCTGTGTTTAAGAATTCTTCAATTCTTTTTATTGTCGACACTGCTTTGCCACAATATTGTACTCCTAATGGAAAAAAAAATGTTTTAAAATAAAATTAATTTTTTTTTTTTTTGTAGAAATATTTTGTAAATAGTATCACATAAATTATTGGCTAAAATTTAATGTAAAACAAATGTAAAATAGTTGAAGAATAAAGTAAAAAAGTCGTATAATGTGAAATTATTTTTCTTTAGAAATTAGTAGCGTGGATAAGGTACTTGACTTGTAAATTATTGATCAGAGTTCGATTCCTGGTACCAACATTTTTTTTTTTTTTTTTTTTTTTTGAACCATGATAAAAATAATAATTTAAATAAATTGTTAAATAAATAATTAAATTTATAATAATTATAATAAAAATAGTTTTGAAAAAAAATTTTACTACGTAGTAATTTTTTTTTTTATTCAATATTCTTACCACATTGTAATAATAAATTAACTGTGTATCTCATAATATTGTAATAGCCAGTTATTGCAAAAACCAATTGTGCAGATAATGAATTTCCTGAAAGGGCGTAACTGACAATTGTTACAAAAAGGCAAAGACGAGGAATATAGCTATCGTACGTCAATTGTATAGCGTCAATAAATAAACTCTTTTTAATTGCTTTTATTTCATTTCTAGGGGAAAAAATATAATATTACATATATTAAAAAAATGTAGGAAAAAAAATTTTTTTTGTCCCGAAAATATTTTTTTCAAAAAATAATTTGAAAAAAATAAATTTTCAGATAAAAAAAGAAATTTTGTCCCAAAATTATTATTTTTTTTTAAATAATTGAATTTGAAAAATAAATTTTCAGATTAAAAAAATTTTTTTGTCTCAAAATTATTTTTTCAAAAAAAAAAAAAAAAAATAATAATTGAATTTGGAAAATAAATTTTCAGATTAAAAAAAAATTTTTCCATTAATGCGAAACATAAAGTGTAACAAAAATATTTTTCTGTTTCATTCTTTATAAAATGACCCATTTTGGGTCGTTTCATCTGAAGTGAATCATGAAATAAAAAATTTTTTTTTTTTTGTAAATATATTTTTATTTCTTTAAAAAAAAGAAACTTACTTTCTGGCTTGTTGAATTAGATATGAAAATGGCTTTTCCCACGCGTACATTTTAATGACTTGTACTCCGCTAATTATTTCACTCATTAGCCGTAATCTTTCATCAGTTTTGAGAGAGGCATTTATTGTTATTTTTGGAACACACGTTCCAACCGATACTAGAAATTATTTTTGTAATAAAAAATTAATTTTAAATTTAAATTGCAAAATAATTTTAATAATTAAATTATTTTTATTATAATTAATTAATTTATTTTTTAATTTAATTAATTTATATTTTAATTAATTAATTTATTTTTTAATTTAATTAATTTATATTTTAATTAATTTATTTATTTTTTAATTTAATTAATTAAATTGTGTAATTAATAAATTTTTGAGAAAAAAAAAATTATTTAATTTGTTTATTGTTAAAATTTAATTTTCAAAAAAAATTTCCAATTAATTAATTTTTTAATTGTTTTAGATTAAATATTAAATTAAAAAATTATTTTCATTACTTAGCATTACTATGTTGAGAAAAAGTACAAAAATTCCATAAACTGCTGACATTTTCAATTCAGTGTACATAATGTAAACGATAATTATTGCTTGAAGTGGTGAAATCCAAAAATAATGTAAATAAACAAATGACAAGTCCAAATTATTAATGTCATTGCTCACAATATTTACAATCTGAAAATAAAAATTAATATTATTTGATTATAATAATTTATTTTTTAATAATTTTTTTTTCCAATCATAAGAAAAAAAATTCCGTAATTTTTTATTTATATATTTTTTTTTTAAATAAATCAAATCAAGTTAATTAATTATTAAAAAAAAATTTAATAAATTATTTTAAATTTAAATTAATTTTCCTACAATAAATTGTTTAAATTTGTCGTTTCAATAAATTATTTAAATAATTTGTTTACATAATTTGTTTAAATTGGTCGTTAAAATAAATTGTTTGAATACATAAATTATTTACATAAATTGTTTAACTAATTTGCTCAAAATGGTCGTTAAAATAAATTGTTTGAATAAATTGTTTAACTAAATTATTTTAATAATATTGTTATTAAATAAATTGTTTAAATAAATTATTGTAATAAATTATATAAATTAATTTATTTAAATTAATTATATAAATTAATTTGTTTAAATTAATTATGTAAATAAATTGTTTAAACAAAAAAATCGTAATAAATTTAAAATAAATTATAATTAATTTAAAAAAATTAATTTTAATAAATTTAATTTATTGTAAATTGAGGAAAAGAAATTTTTTTTTTTTTTTTTTTTTTTTTTTTTTTATTTACCTGACCGGCAGTTGAGCCTTCATTGAAGGATGTTTTTGACATTTTTAAAATTTTCCTATAAATCAAACTTCCACAAGCTATTCTCATTTTTAATCCCAAATGAGTTAATGCATAAATACAAAGATTATGAATAATACAATGTAAAAGTAAACAACAAACAAGAATTGCCGACCAATAATAACTATTATTGTTCATTAACACTTCACCTGAATTAAAAGTTTCCAATAATTTTGCCAGACAAATTGGTTGATATATTCTAGAAAAGAAAAATTAATTTCTTATTAATTAATTAAAAAACTAGAATTTAATTTTTTTTTTAAATTTCCCGCCTTGTCCAAATTTTGCTGATAATGGCGCGAAATTCAAATTTGGAATTTCAATTTAATATTGTTTCAAATTGGAAAAATAAAATTAATAATTAATAATTAAATTAAGACATAAAAAATAATTTAAAAAAAAAAATTATTTCACAAATTGTTTTTTTTTTTTTTATTTAATAAAATGTAAGTTTTTTTTTCAACCAACCGTACGACAAGTTCAGTGAATGCTTGAAAGAATCCAATAAATAAAAATCTTTTCCAAAAACAACGAGCAAGTGCACGACATAAATTTGCTTTTGATAATCCTTTCTGGTGACTTCGTCTTTGTTCATCTTTCCAAAATTTCACTAAATTTTCGCCTAAATGTTTACTGGTGTGCTCCTTTAATGGCGAATAAAGATCCGTTACCTCCAAATCTTTTTTAGTACCAAGGAAAAAAATTCTAAAAACCCACCTGAGAAAATGAAAAAAGAAAATTTTTTTTTTCTTTCTATTTAAATAATAAAAAATTCATTATTTAAATAATTTTTTTACAAATTAATTAATAAATTAATTCAAATATTTATTTATATATATATATCATTAATAAATTAATTAAATTAAATTAATTAAATTTAATTTACATTTGTTAATAATTATTATAAACTAATTAAAATTAATTTACTGATAATTATTAATTAACAGATTGTTAATTAATTCAATTATATTTATTTCTAATTATTTACCGAAATTAATTTGAATATGCAAAAAATCATTTAATGACAGTTAACTTATTAATAATTACTGTAAACTAACAATTAATTTATTAGTAACAATTTTATTAATTACAATTATTAATAAACATAATATTAATTTTTTAAAGTATTCATATAATTAATATTTAATAGTTAATTTGTTAATAATTAGTTTACTAATAATTAATTCACTAATTAATTAATACTAATTAACAATTAACAAATTATAAACTAATTCAATTATTTTTATTAACTTATTGGAATTATTTGTTGCTTAATAATTACGGTAAACTAATAATTAATTTATTAATAACCAATTATTAATAAACAAATTATTAATTAAATTAATGATCTATTTGTAATAAGTGAAATTAATTAATTTACATATATATATATATATATATAATAAATTAATAATACTTAAATTTCCTAATTATTCATGTTAATGTAAATAATTACTATAAATTAATAATTAATTTACTGTTAACTAATTATAAATAAATTATTAATAAATTCATATACATATTTTCATTAATATGATTAATTTAAATATTGATGTAATTAATTAGAAATTATTAATTAGTTAATAAGTAATTAATTATTTTTGAATAATGAAATTAATTAAAAGCAAATAATTAATTAATATTTAATTTGTTAATAACAATTAGTATTAATTAGTAATAATTAATAACAATTAGCTATAAATTATTATAATTAATAACAATTAACAATAAATTGTAATAATTAATTATAATTAATAATTAATTAAATATAGTTGAAATTAATTAATAATTAATTAAATATAGTTGAAATTAATTAATAATTAATTAGTAATAGTTAAAATTAAATAATAATTAATTAACGAGAATTAAGAATAATGAATAAAATTTATAAATTAATTTGTTATTATTATAAATTAATTAGTAGTGATTAAAAATAATTAATAATAATTCATTATAATTAATATTTAATTAGTAATAAAATAAATTGATGAAAAATTCTGAAAAAAGAAAATTATTTTTAAAATACATACGCAAATGTGAGAACTGAGAAAATATTTGCATTTTCCCTTGGATTTTTCACTTCTTTTTTTTCATTTCTTTCCATGATTAAAAATTTTTTTCAACCATGACTTGAAGTTTTATTATTAACCAATGATAATGTTAACGGAAAACATAATATATTTATTTATCTTTTGTTCCTTAATTTATTATTAAATTTCACAACCAGTTGTAATAAAAATACGTCAATAAAATTACGTAACAGAAAATTTAGATAATATAATATTGGCAAAAAAAAAAAAAAAAAAAAATTCGTTACATATAAAAATTAATAAAAATTTAATTTTTCTCTTTTCAAATATTTCTTTTTCTACAAATAAAAAATTATTTTTTAAACAATATTTTTAATAAAAAAAAAAATTATTTCTACTTTTTTTATTATATATTTTTATATAAAATGATATATATATATATAAATTAATTTTATTTCTATTTATTAAAAAAAAAATTAAATTAAACGTTTTTTCTCTATTAATTTAAAAAGTGTGTTAATTTTCCGTGAATGTTTTATTAGACAACAATTTGCAAACTAAAATGCATTGTTTTTCTTTTTTTTATATTTTAAATGTTTTTCTCTTCTTTTTTTTCGTTCAACATATTTATAATTTGTAGAAAAAACGTCAAGGAACTTATAGATAAGATAATTCGTCTATTATGTAAATTTATAATAAAAACATAAAATGTCAATTCCCTGTAAACAAATAATATGAGTGAGTTTAAAAGAAAAATAATTTTTTGTTTCAAAAACTTTATTTATAAAAAAAAAAAAAAAAAAAAAAAAAAACGAGTATTTAACTTAATAATTATCAAAGTAGCGATAAATTTTACAAGTATTTGAAAGAGAAAAAAATTTGCTAACATTTATAATAATATATATTATTTTTCATTTTTAGAAACAAAGTTACTATTAAGTACTTTTTAAGGAAAAAATACAAAAAAAAAATATTTTTTTAATTTTTTAATAAATGTTTTTGATTTTTTTGCAAAAATAATTTTTTAAATATATTATTTCCTTTTTTTTTTAAATTTTCGAATTTTATATGACACAAAATAAAGTAAGAAATTTTATTTTCTATTTTTAATTGGAAATTTCGAACATAACCTCAAAATTTAATTCACAAAAGTCAGGAACATAACCTGAAAAAAATTAGAGGTTTCATATGCGTCACTAAAAGACGAACCTAACCTCAAAATTTTATTGACAAAAGTCAGGAACATAACTTGAAAAAAATTAGAGGTTTCATATGCGAACCTAACCTCAAAATTTAATTGCCAGAAGCGCCAGAAGTTACGAATATAACCTCAAAAAAAGCGAAGGACAATTAAAAATGCATAATTTATTTAAACATAAATTTATTATCGCATATTTATATCAATTTTCAGTAATATTTTTCACCATATTGGAAAATATTCCATTATTCTTCTTAACCAATTCCAGAGGATGACCAAATTCCTAAAAAAAAAATTTTTATTTAAAATAGAATTAAAATAATTTCTAAATTTTTTTTTTTATTTTTTAGGTTATGTTTAAAGTTTTAGGCCAAAAAAAGTGTACTTACAACAAGTTGACCATCACTGAGAACAATAATTTTGTCACAATTCATAAAACTATTCAATTTATCAGTAATGACAAAAATTGTACAATCTCTAAATTTATTGATTGTCATTTCAAAATCATCATCATCATCATCATCATCATCATCATCATCATCATCAATGACAAGAATTTTATTTCGCCTAATTAATGCACGAGTAAGGGAAATTAATTTTTTTTCTTTATAACTAAAATTTTCTCCATCAGTAATAATTGTTTCAAGTCCATCTCTATTAATATCCAATCCCACAGTATTTAGTGCATGATAAATATCAGCATCCGAATTATCATCAAATGGATCGAGATTTTGACGCAGTGTACCGTCAAAAAATTTCACATCTCGTGATATATAACTAATTTTAGAACGTAATTTATAAAGATCTAAAATTTTTGTTGATACACCATCGATGAGAATTTGCCCTTCAATAAATCCAAAACGAAATAATGCAGCAATTAATGAATTTGTTTCGTCTAAAATTCCAATTTTTTCACCCGATGAAATTGTAAAATTAATATTTTTCAAAATTGCCATATCATTTTTACAATATTTAAAAGAAACATTTTGAAATTTTATCGAACCATTAATTGGCCAATTTGAATGTGGTTCTTTTAAATGAATTTCGTCATTGTAATCAACAAATTTTTCCTTTTCAATATTTTCAAGAATTCTTTTCACAGACAATGACATTTCATTATTTATTTCAGTTATTTGAAAAATTCCCCATTTTAATGTGGTAATTATTGCAAACGATTGGGTGATAATTAAACCCACATTACTGATTGTAAAAAATTTTTCTGATAAAATAAATGTATAGCAAACAATTGTCAAGTAAATTAAAATGATAATATCAATATAATAACGAAAACCACAAGACATTTGTAGAAGAATTGTGGAAATTTTGATATATTCATTATGACGTTTATGAAATTTTTCAGTGATAAATTCTTCTCCTCCTGCTGAGCGAATTGTTGATAAACCATTGAGAGTGTCTGTCACTGTTTCCAAAAATTCCGATTGTTCTGAATTAAAAATGTTAAGAATTTAGGAAATTAGATATTTAGGAATTAAGAAATTTAGGAATTAAGAAATTTAGGAATTAAGAAATTTAGGAATTAAGAAATTTAGGAATTAAGAAATTTAGGAATTAAGTAAATTTAGACAATTTGTAAGTACATGATTTGATTAGGAAAACTCATAATTACTTATGGCATTCAATTGCTTTAGAGTTGTGCTAGCCTTGAGGTACATGTTCGTTAAATTATAGAGAAATAAGCCAGTGAATATTATTGGAATCATCAGCCAGTAATTGATAATTATTGTTAGACTTATTAGTGAAATTATTGATATGCTGATAAAGAGGACATCGTGTATTGCTTTGGGTAAAGTTCTATCAACTATTTCCATGTCCATGGAGAATCTAAACAGAAAGCAGTAATCTAATAATAATTCCCTAATAGTCCAATTCCTTAATTCAAAAATCATTCTAATTATTTCATAATGATTTTAAAATCAATTCTATACCTTTTTAAAATATTTCCAGCATTATTCTTATAAAAGTATCTCATACTTCCATGTATCATTGACTGAAACAATAATGTATGCAATCTATTAGAAGCATTTTTACAAATTTTCCCAAATATTAGAACATTTAAATTTATTCCAATTATTGCAAATATCAGAAGTCCACCAAATATGTATATATAATTCCAGTGTTTAATTTTTGAACAAACTCTCGAATATGTCACTAAATGATGATCAATATTCTCATGTAAATTATTGCATAAACCAGTTATTGTCCAATGTGTAATAAAATAATCAACAGCAGTAATTGCAATTTGACAAGTGCATAATAAAATAAAATAAATTCCAATTAACCACCAATTTTCCACTGATTTTAATAGTTGCAAATAAATATTTCCTGTAATTTCAACATTAGATTCAAGAGTTTCATATTTTTTAAAATTATCATTTAATAATGGCTGATTGATTATTAATTTTTTTCCATTCTTTTTGTAATTGATTTTTATTTCATCATTGGAGAGATAATAAATTTTCTCAACATATTGAAGATGTTTTTGATGATGATTTGTCAGGAGAATTCTTATTTTGTTTTTTAATAATTTACATAAAATTTCTTTAAATATATAATTGGTAATTTTGGAATTAATTTTTTCAAATGGATCATCTAGAAGATAAATATCAGCATTAGAATAAATAGCTCGAGCTAGTGCTAATTTTATTTTTAATTCCTCGGTGATATTAATTTTATTCCCATTAATTTTTGTATTATCCTTCATTGGTAATTGAATTAAATCTTTTTCCAATTTAAAAATATTAATTATTTTTTCATAATGTTTTTGATTTATTGGATTATTAAAAATTATATTTTCACGAATTGTTCCTGAAAATATCCACGGATTTTTACTAACATAGGCAATATTTCCATTAATATTAACAATTCCCGATGCTATTGGCAATTCTTGAAGAATTATTGACGATAATTTTTTTGTTTCACCAACAATTGCTGTAAACGAAGCAGGTTTTGGTGAAAAATTAATTTCATTTTCTTTTGTTATTGAATTCAAATTTATATTATTAAGATGTAAAAAAATTTTGTTTTTGTTAATTTTGTTTTTTTTAATTTCCATTTCGTCAAGATTCATAAATTCCTGAATTAATCGAAGTGCTGAAATTCCATTATTAATTTTTTCAAGTCCTAAAATTAAATTCTTTTTTTGCATTTATTTTGAATCAAAGAAAAAAAATTTATTTGTAAACTTACCTAGTGGTAAATAGTAATTGATGAGAATTTGTAATTCCATAAAATAGAGTACGAGAAGAAAAAATGTTTCCATTTTCATGTTTCGTTGGAAGATGACAAAAAATATAAATGTAATGATCATAGACAATCGGGAAATGTAAAATAATGATGAAAATATAATTAATTTGATGACATTGAATTTAAATAGCTGATAAATTTCGTATCTAAAAATTAAATAAATTGAATTAGTTAATGAATTAATTAAATGAATTAATAAAATAATTAATGAAATAATTAAATTAATTAAATGAATTAGGTAATGAAATAATTAATTAATGAAATGAATTACCTAAAAAAATAATTAATGAAATAATTAAATTAATTAAATGAATTAATTAAATGAATTAATAAAATAATTAATGAAATGATTAAATTAATTAAATGAATTAGGTTATGAAATAATTAATTAATGAAATAATGAATTAATTAAATGAATTAATAAAATAATTAATGAAATAATTAAATTAATTAAATGAATTAATGAAATAGTGAATTAATTAAATGAATTAATAAAATAATTAATGAAATAATTAAATTAATTAAATGAATTAGGTTATGAAATAATTAAATTAATTAAATGAATTAATGAAATAATGAATTAATTAAATGAATTTGGTAATGAAAAAATTAATTAATGAAATGAATTACCTAATAAAATAATTAATGAAATAATTAAATTAATTAAATTAATTAGGTTATGAAATAATGAATTAATTAAATGAATTAATGAAATAATGAATTAATTAAATGAATTAGGTAATTAAATAGTTAAATTAATTAAATGAATTAGGTAATGAAATAATTAATTAATGAAATGAATTACCTAATAAAATAATTAATGAAATAATTAAATTAATTAAATGAATTAATGAAATAATGAATTAATTAAATGAATTAATAAAATAATTAATGAAATAATTAAATTAATTAAATGAATTAATGAAATAGTGAATTAATTAAATGAATTAATAAAATAATTAATGAAATAATTAAATTAATTAAATGAATTAGGTTATGAAATAATTAAATTAATTAAATGAATTAATGAAATAATGAATTAATTAAATGAATTTGGTAATGAAAAAATTAATTAATGAAATGAATTACCTAATAAAATAATTAATGAAATAATTAAATTAATTAAATTAATTAGGTTATGAAATAATGAATTAATTAAATGAATTAATGAAATAATGAATTAATTAAATGAATTAGGTAATTAAATAGTTAAATTAATTAAATGAATTAGGTAATGAAATAATTAATTAATGAAATGAATTACCTAATAAAATAATTAATGAAATAATTAAATTAATTAAATGAATTAATGAAATAATGAATTAATTAAATGAATTAATAAAATAATTAATGAAATAATTAAATGAATTAATAAAGTAATTAATGAAATAATTAAATGAATTAATAAAATAATTAATGAAATAATTAAATTAATTAAATGAATTAATGATATAATGAATTAATAAAATAATTAATGAAATAATTAAATTAATTAAATGAATTAATGAAATAATGAATTAGGTAATGAAATAATTAATTAACGAAATAATGAATTAATTAAATGAATTAATGAAATAATTAATTAATTAAATGAATTAATAAAATAATTAATTAATTAATTAAATAATTAAAGTAAATTAATTAATTACAAAAATTTAATAAAAATTTAATTTCCTGATCACAGTGGGAATAACTAACTTTCTGATATTGTTAACAGCATCAATAAATTTCTTTTCCCAGACAAATATTTTTATATTTTCTATACAATCAATAATTTGATTTTGTAATTTTAATCTTTCTTTGGTTTTTACTTCAATTTTCAATAATAATCGTGACGTTAATTTAGTGAAAAATCCTGAAAAATACGAAATAATAAATTAATGGAGAAAAAAAAATTGATGATTTTCTTGTCTATGCACACCTTGGATTGGAATAAATAGAAAAAATAGTGAAACACCGGAAATTGCAATAAATCCCACATGAATGTAAATTAAATATGCAATGAGAATTCCTTGAAATGGTATCATCCAAAAATAATGTAAATACATTAATGATGATTGAATTGCTTCAGCATCATTTGTTACAAGTTTGACAATCTGTATTTTAATTTATTCTATTTTTTAATTTAATTTAATTCTATTTTTAATTAAATTTTTATAATTTAATTTAATTAAAAATTTTTTTTTTTATTTTTGATACCTCCAGAATCGAAGTTTTTTCCTCCAAACATGTTGTGGACATTTTTAAGATTTTACTATAAATCAAAGAACAATAAGCAATTTTTATTTTTAATCCTAAAATTGTCATTATATTGAGTATATTGTGAAAAAAATTTATTTGAATCAATAGACAAATAATAATTCCAATTGCCCAAATGCATGCCTCGTTTGTTGATGTTTTTGTGTTTTCTTCAAAATATCTCAACAATTTTGTCAACAATAGCGGTTGTAATGCTCTAAAAAATGAAAAAATATACATTTTTTTAAAATTAATTTTCAAAAAAAAAAAAAAATAAATAAACTTTTCCAATATAAAAATAATTAAAGTAAAAAAAATAAAAAATTATTACCAATGATTTCAGAATTAAATTAGAATTAAAATTTTAATTTTACTTAATTTGTCCCAAACCTTATAAAAGATTCAGAAATCAATTGAATAAGACCTATAAATAAAATATCAACACCAAAAATATTCATTATCACTTGTTTCAATGAAATTGGTGAGTTTGAAGAATTTTTTTTCTTTTTTTCAATTTCAATATTCCATGAGTCGTGAATTTTTTTATATAAATAATGAGAGTCCTGTTTCTTTGGTATTTGAAAATAATTAAATTCTAAATTATCATCATTATTTTTATAATTTTTGAAAAATATATTAAAAATCCATCTAGAAAAAAATTAATACAAAAATATAAAAAAAATATACCAAAAATATACAAAAATTTATAAATAAAATTATATTTTCTAAATATTTATAAAAAAATTTATTTAAAAAAAAACTAAATTTTATCTTCTTTTTAAATAAAGAAAACAAGTTTTTATTTTATAATTACATAAATGAGAGCCGTGACAATATATTTCCATACGAATATGAATTTTTCATTTTCTATTTATAATTTATACGCAAATAAACACTCGATATATTTATTATATATTAAAATTGAATTTTAATAAATATTCTCTTTTTTTATATAAATTTTTTATTAAATAATACTTTATATTTCAAATGTTATACTAAAAAAATATATATGGAAAACTTTTAACACAATAATTTCTCTAGTTTGAAACATTTTTTTTTTTAAATAAAGTTATTATAATTTTTTTAAGTCACACTTTATTATTTCGCCGTTCACTTTTTTTTATTATATATTATAAAAAAATAATAAAAAATAATAAATGAAAAAAATGAAATAACATGCTTTGTTAAAAGTTAGACGGGAACTGACGATAAAAACAATTTACAATAGTTTTAATAAAAAATAAAAGTGACTGCCATTATTTTTAATGAGCTTACTGATACCCATGAAAAAATAAAAATTGTTATTCCTAATTTAGAAAAAAACGTTTTTTTTTAAATCTAAAAAAGTCACTTTTATTGTTTAAAATTAATTAATAATATAATTAAAATATTAATTAATTATAATGTAACAATATATAAATTACATGCATACTTAATTATATATATATGTGTAATAAATAATTAATATTGCATTTAATTAAATATTAAATAAATATTCAATTACATGTAATTAAATTATTAATTTTAAAACAATAATATTATTTACTTTCCTCATATTTTTGTCGTTGACGTAAATGTCATTTGAATAAAATTTGTCTTTTCCATTTTTCAAAAAAACCCTTTTTCAAACACAATAAATAGTCAGTTATTTTCTTTCTTTTCATCTTTTTATTAATAATTTTTATTAAAATTACAATTAAAACCTTCATCTAACAATAACATTTCATATTCTATATATAAGATAAAAATATTTGTATACCTTAAAAAAATAATTTTTTTTGTAAAAATATTGTTATTTAATGATTTCAATTGAGTACTTATATTTTGTCTTCTAATTTTTCATTTCTCTTCCTTTTCCCCTAATTTCTTTCAAATAACTCTGAAAAAAAATTTGTTATTAATTTATTAAAATAAATATATAATTACTTGCATGAAAATGCACTTGAAACATCTCAAATCCAGTCTGTTGAACCATTTCATACAAGTGACCTTCTTTTCTTTTCCATTAAACTAAAAGGATGATCCATTTCCTGAAAAAAAATAGAAAATTTTTTTAATTTTTATTATAAAAATTAATTTTATAATTAAAATATTTAAATATTCAATTGATATTATAATTTTTAGGTTAATTGTCACTGCGTTGAAGTATAAACAAGAGTGCGATAGTTAAACGCGACATTTTAACACGGTTGAGTCGGTATAAATTATATCAGCAGAGTGCGCTAACAGTTAGGGGTAAAAGTGCATTCACACTGTGTTAAAAAAAACTGTTTTATTTACTAAAATATGAATTTTCATCACTCACCACAATGGATCCAGCTTCCAAGACAATAAATTTATCACAATCCATAACTGTATTCAATCTATGAGCAATAATAAGAACAGTAAAATATTTTATTTGTTTTCTAATTGTTTTTTGAATCAAATCATCAGTTTGTGGATCAACATTAGCCGTTGCCTCATCCAATACAAAAATTCGAGTCTTTCTCACAATATCCCTTGCCAAACAAAGCAATTGTCTCTGTCCCACACTAAAATTTGCTCCAACGTATGAAACTCTCGCCTCCAGACAAGCTTTCATTTGGACAATTGTATACTTTAATTTCAATTTACTCAAAGCCCTCCAAAGTTCCTCGTCATGAAACTTATCAAATAGATCCGAATTCATTCAGAGACTTCCGGCAAATAATAATAGTTTCTGTGGAATAATACTGTGGGTTTACTTTTAGGGGGTAATTTATGTCTTCCTCTACTTGTATTACAGTGTCAATTTTTTTCTACACTTTACGGTGTATTTTGTGCAAGAATTAGCAATAAAATAGTCCGCCTAAGAAAAATTGAATTTTTTTCGGAGTTTTTTTGTGTTTTTGGTTGACTTTTTGGTGTTAAAATGTGTCTTCCTCTACTCGTATTTGGCTGTCAATTTTTTTATACACTTTTAGGTGTATTTTGTGCAAGAATTAGCAATGAAATAGTCCGCCTAAGAAAAATTTTACTTTTTTGGGACCTTTTTTGTGTTTTTGGCTGACTTTTTGGTGGTAATAGGTGTCTTCCTCTACTCGTATTTGGCTGTCAATTTTTTTCTACACTTTTAGGAGTATTTTGTGCAAGAATTTGCATTAAAATCTGCTGCCTAAGAAAAATTGAATTGTTTTGGGAACTTTTTTATTTTTTTGGATTTTTGGGTTGGATGAGTTTTTGGTGGTAATAGGTGTCTTCCTCTACTCGTATTTGGCTGTCAATTTTTTTCTACACTTTTAGGAGTATTTTGTGTAAGAATTTGCATTAAAATCTTCTGCCTAAGAAAAATTGAATGGTTTTGGGAACTTTTTTATTTTTTTGGATTTTTGGGTTGGATGAGTTTTTGGTGGTAATACGTGTCTTCCTCTACTCGTATTTGGCTGTCAATTTTTTTCTACACTTTTAGGAGTATTTTGTGCAAGAATTTGCATTAAAATCTTCTGCCTAAGAAAAATTGAATTGTTTTGGGAACTTTTTTATTTTTTTGGATTTTTGGGTTGGATGAGTTTTTGGTGGTAATAGGTGTCTTCCTCTACTCGTATTTGGCTGTCAAATTTTTTCTACACTTTTAGGAGTATTTTGTGCAAGAATTTGCATTAAAATCTGCTGCCTAAGAAAAATTGAATTGTTTTGGGAACTTTTTTATTTTTTTGGATTTTTGGGTTGGATGAGTTTTTGGTGGTAATAGGTGTCTTCCTCTACTCGTATTTGGCTGTCAATTTTTTTCTACACTTTTAGGAGTATTTTGTGCAAGAATTTGCATTAAAATCTTCTGCCTAAGAAAAATTGAATTGTTTTGGGAACTTTTTTATTTTTTTGGATTTTTGGGTTGGATGAGTTTTTGGTGGTAATAGGTGTCTTCCTCTACTCGTATTTGGCTGTCAATTTTTTTCTACACTTTTAGGAGTATTTTGTGCAAGAATTTGCATTAAAATCTTCTGCCTAAGAAAAATTGAATTGTTTTGGGAACTTTTTTATTTTTTTGGATTTTTGGGTTGGATGAGTTTTTGGTGGTAATAGGTGTCTTCCTCTACTCGTATTTGGCTGTCAATTTTTTTCTACTCTTTTAGGAGTATTTTGTGCAAGAATTTGCATTAAAATCTTCAGCCTAAGAAAAATTGAATTGTTTTGGGAACTTTTTTATTTTTTTGGATTTTTGGGTTGGATGAGTTTTTGGTGGTAATAGGTGTCTTCCTCTACTCGTATTTGGCTGTCAATTTTTTTCTACACTTTTAGGAGTATTTTGTGCAAGAATTTGCATTAAAATCTTCTGCCTAAGAAAAATTGAATTGTTTTGGGAACTTTTTTATTTTTTTGGATTTTTGGGTTGGATGAGTTTTTGGTGGTAATAGGTGTCTTCCTCTACTCGTATTTGGCTGTCAATTTTTTTCTACACTTTTAGGAGTATTTTGTGCAAGAATTTGCATTAAAATCTGCTGCCTAAGAAAAATTGAATTGTTTTGGGAACTTTTTTATTTTTTTGGATTTTTGGGTTGGATGAGTTTTTGGTGGTAATAGGTGTCTTCCTCTACTCGTATTTGGCTGTCAATTTTTTTCTACACTTTTAGGAGTATTTTGTGCAAGAATTTGCATTAAAATCTTCTGCCTAAGAAAAATTGAATTGTTTTGGGAACTTTTTTATTTTTTTGGATTTTTGGGTTGGATGAGTTTTTGGTGGTAATAGGTGTCTTCCTCTACTCGTATTTGGCTGTCAATTTTTTTCTACACTTTTAGGAGTATTTTGTGCAAGAATTTGCATTAAAATCTTCTGCCTAAGAAGAATTGAATTGTTTTGGGAACTTTTTTATTTTTTTGGATTTTTGGGTTGGATGAGTTTTTGGTGGTAATAGGTGTCTTCCTCTACTCGTATTTGGCTGTTAATTTTTTTCTACACTTTTAGGAGTATTTTGTGCAAGAATTTGCATTAAAATCTTCTGCCTAAGAAAAATTGAATTGTTTTGGGAACTTTTTTATTTTTTTGGATTTTTGGGTTGGATGAGTTTTTGGTGGTAATAGGTGTCTTCCTCTACTCGTATTTGGCTGTCAAATTTTTTCTACACTTTTAGGAGTATTTTGTGCAAGAATTTGCATTAAAATCTGCTGCCTAAGAAAAATTGAATTGTTTTGGGAACTTTTTTATTTTTTTGGATTTTTGGGTTGGATGAGTTTTTGGTGGTAATAGGTGTCTTCCTCTACTCGTATTTGGCTGTCAATTTTTTTCTACACTTTTAGGAGTATTTTGTGCAAGAAATTGCATTAAAATCTTCTGCCTAAGAAAAATTGAATTGTTTTGGGAACTTTTTTATTTTTTTGGATTTTTGGGTTGGATGAGTTTTTGGTGGTAATAGGTGTCTTCCTCTACTCGTATTTGGCTGTCAATTTTTTTCTACACTTTTAGGAGTATTTTGTGCAAGAATTTGCATTAAAATCTTCTGCCTAAGAAAAATTGAATTGTTTTGGGAACTTTTTTATTTTTTTGGATTTTTGGGTTGGATGAGTTTTTGGTGGTAATAGGTGTCTTCCTCTACTCGTATTTGGCTGTCAAATTTTTTCTACACTTTTAGGAGTATTTTGTGCAAGAATTTGCATTAAAATCTGCTGCCTAAGAAAAATTGAATTGTTTTGGGAACTTTTTTATTTTTTTGGATTTTTGGGTTGGATGAGTTTTTGGTGGTAATAGGTGTCTTCCTCTACTCGTATTTGGCTGTCAATTTTTTTCTACACTTTTAGGAGTATTTTGTGCAAGAATTTGCATTAAAATCTTCTGCCTAAGAAAAATTGAATTGTTTTGGGAACTTTTTTATTTTTTTGGATTTTTGGGTTGGATGAGTTTTTGGTGGTAATAGGTGTCTTCCTCTACTCGTATTTGGCTGTCAATTTTTTTCTACACTTTTAGGAGTATTTTGTGCAAGAATTTGCATTAAAATCTTCTGCCTAAGAAAAATTGAATTGTTTTGGGAACTTTTTTATTTTTTTGGATTTTTGGGTTGGATGAGTTTTTGGTGGTAATAGGTGTCTTCCTCTACTCGTATTTGGCTGTCAATTTTTTTCTACACTTTTAGGAGTATTTTGTGCAAGA